CTCTCTCGACTTCAGCACTGCGTTCCTGCAGGGTAGCCTGCACGAGGAGATCTGGCTGCGCCGTCCACCTGGCTTCACTGGGACTTTCCCTCCTGGCACCCAGTGGAGCCTCCGACGGCCAGTCTACGGTCTCCGCCAGGCACCGCGTGAGTGGCACGACACACTGAGGACTACGCTTGCGGCTCTTGGGTTTGCTCCTTCTACTGCTGACCCGTCGCTGTTTCTGCGCACCGACACTTCACTGCCGCCGTTCTACATCCTCGTGTACGTCGACGACTTGGTCTTTGCCACAGCGGACACTGCTGGACTCGCCTACGTGAAGTCCGAACTGCTGAAGAGACACACGTGCACAGACCTGGGTGAACTGCGCAGCTACCTTGGCTTGCAGATCACTCGGGACAGAGCACCCCGCACCATTACCTTGACTCAGTCACACATGGTGCAGCAGGTCCTTCAGCGCTTCGGCTTCACGTACTCCTCGCCTCAGGCCACTCCTCTGCCTACTCGCCACTCACTCTCAGCTCTGCCTTCGGATGAGTCCGTAGAGTCGAGTGGTCCGTATGCAGAGCTTGTTGGCTGCCTCATGTACCTGATGACCTGCACACGACCTGACCTTGCATACCCTCTGAGCATTCTTGCACGCTATGTTGCTCCTGGGAGACACAGACCAGAGCACATGGCTGCAGCGAAGAGGGTATTGCGCTACCCGTGCAGTACGTCGGGCATGGGGCTTGTGCTTGGAGGGCGGAGTCCAGTGGTCCTTACCGGCCACGCGGACGCTTCTTGGGCTGACGACCAGGCTACGCAGCGGTCGTCACAGGGTTACACCTTCAGCCTTGGTTCCGGCTCTGTCTCGTGGCGGTCTACTCGCTCGTCTTCGGTTCTCGGCTCGAGCTGTGAGGCTGAGATCTACGCCGGGGCCATGGCTGCACAGGAGCTTCGCTGGCTCACCTACCTGCTGACTGACCTTGGAGAGCCGCCTCGTTCTCCTCCAGTGCTGTACGTAGACAACAAGGCCATGCTGGCCTTGTGTCGAGAGCAGCGCTTGGAGCACAGAACGAAGCACATTGCTCTCCGCTACTTCCTTGCTCGTGAGCTGCAGCAGCGTGGTCAGTTGCGACTTGCGTACGTGGCCTCTGAGGCCAACACTGCTGATGTGTTCACCAAGGCACTCGCGCCTTGTGACCATCAGCGCTTTTGCACCCAGCTGGGTCTTGTACGTGTCTTGCCTCACTTGCTCTCCTCTTGACTTCACTTGTACTGTGACATATATATATATACCTGCTCTTGCTTGTCTAGTTTTATATATATGTCTGTACTCCTGCATGTGAACTGGCCTCTGGCCCTGCTCTTGTGCTCGGACTGTGTGGTGACTTTGTGATCCACCCTGAGCTTGCTTTGCTTTGCTTGACTGGTCTTGTGACCCCTTGTTCTCCCCCACTTTGCCTATGGGGGTGTGTCAAACATTATATATGTTATGCTTGTGTAGGCTACAGTGGGTTAGCCTATAGGGGGTACACAATTCTAGGGTTTCCTACTTGTACTCATTTTCACTGCTAGTTCATCCTTCCTGTTCGCTTATTCTCACAGCCGCGACGTAGGTCGGGGCCGCGACGTAGGGCGGACGCCCGCGAAGGTAGGGCAGAAGCCCGCCGCGCGCCTCGGGGCGCACAGCGGGCAAAGAACCGCCGCGCGCCCCGGGGCGCACGGCGGGCAGAAAACCGCCGCGCGCCTCGGGGCGCACGGCGGGAAGGAAAACCGGAAAGGTAGCAGCGGAAGCGAGGTGGAAACCCACCCACAGGATCGATCCAAGGGGATCGACCTGCTCTGGTAGCATGACAAAAGTTAGAAGAAAGAAAGAGGATTGAACTAGCAGAAATGGGGATACAAATAGCAAACCCTAGAAGGGTTGTACTCGCTATAGAGCACCCCACTACAGGCTAGAACAATAAGATAATATTCTGACAGTATTTTTGTCTGATTTTCAGAGTAAATTCTTGTACCAACTCTGATTTTTCCGCCTAGCCCAGAACCAATCTGAGAGCTCCTAGACTGCACTCTATTTCACATGAAAGTTTTGTCTAATAAGGTGCATTCGTGTCTGGACATTTGTGTCTCAATCGCTTTATGACGCAAGGAAACGTATTATGTCACAAACACAGTCGCATTTCAACAACCATTACTTTTTTTTTCATTGGCCAGCGTGAAACGCTAACGTTGCGGACGAGTTGCAAATTGACCCGTCACTTGAAAAAAGCCGCACGCTGTTCGAAATGTCAATGCGCCTGGACACCCAACGCGAATTTCGCGTGCGTAAAAATGCTCGCGCGTCGGAACCACATCCCAGCCAGGCGGTTGAATAAAAGGGTGTACAATAATTTGCGAAACCCAATCAAATGCCGACAAATGTACATCTCGCCTGGTCGCCTAGCAGGGCTTCGTTTTGGATTTGGCTAACTCACGATTGGCAGTGTAGCTTTTTTAGAAACCCTTCTGAGCAGTGTGAACTTTTTCATTACACTGCCAGAGCAGTGTAACATATCCGTTTTAAAATTTTACCCTGCAACTCCAGTGTGAGATTTTTCCGTACACTGCCACTAATATGTACTTCTTAGATTTAACTCAACTCACATACTTGACAATTTATTTATAATCATTCAATCACTTGCATGCTCATCCTCGCTATCAGACTCTAAAACTGCCTTGCCGTTTCCTGCGAAGTGCTTGTGTGGGACGGGTGTTTTCGCGGGTCTTCTCTTCTTTTGCTTCCGCCACATCTCCACCACCTCCGGCCATTTGTACTCGTAGTTCAGCATGTTGAGAGTCATCAGCTCGGACAGACGGACGTCTCCAAGCGACGTGCGCATCCAGCTCTTGATGACGTTTTGCCGGCTGAATCCACGCTCGCACTCCACGGTGCTTAGCGGGATCACCGCGAGCGCCTGCCACATGGACACCAAGTTGGGGTAGCTGCGAGGCCAGTCCTTGGTCTTCATCATCTTGGCGAGCCCCTGGTAGAAGTCGTCGTCCTCGTAGTGGCGCGACATGACGTGGCAGAAGCTGGAGTGACCGCGGGAGGTGGCGGAGGAGGAGGTTTCACAAGCGGCGTGCCGGCGCCGAACCCAATCGTTGTCTGCGTGTAGCGGCGATGTTTCAGCGCTGCCGAATTAGAAGACTCCGGGGCTTCGGTGACGATGTCCGTCATCTCCACGTCACCGTGAACGTCGAGGCCCGCCTCATTGCTTGTGGGACGTTGCGTCTCAGCGTCGTCTGAAGCTAGCTCCTGCTCAGGCGGGGGTGACCGTGACACCGCTTTGCGCACAGGAAATTGCCAGCCCTCACTGTCATCCGAGGGCTCAGGCAAAGGGCGAGGTGCAGATTCGGTTACATGGCCTCGCAAAAAATCGAGACCAGTCCTTGGCCTATAGCTACAAGAGGGGTCGCCATCATCGGCATTGGCAGCGTCTCCAGGCGCAGCCATGGCTACCAGGTGGTGGTCGCTCAGCTGCTAGATTGAGTGGTTAAAACAGAAGCGACTTTGGGGTGGTGGTGGAATGACGGTGTCACACGATACTGCTAGCTGTGCTTGCCGAATCCACACGGCAAAGCTTCGGGACAGAAACTCACAGAGCGCCACGGTCGGGGACCGTGGTTTGCATCTCCAAGCACCGACAATCTGAATGTGGTCCCACTCCCAGGACTTAGTTCAGGCAGCAATACTGTAGTTGCTGCCAATGTGGGATTGCGTGTCGTGCTGGCAAGGGAATTATTCCTAACTGACCAATCGGACACATGACAGCGGCCAACGCAAGTACGGGGGGGGGGGGGAGGGGAAGGGGTGCTCTGTACGCACTTCAGTGTAATCTACGATAAGTATAAAATTACCCCAAGGCATCAGTCTGGCCTAGAACGATACACTTACAGATCAGTGTAACACTAACTCATAAAAAAATTACCCCAGCACATCAGTGTAGACCCAAAATTTCACCCTTGTAATCAGTGTAGAAGGGTAAATTACACTGCAAACCAGAGCCCTGTCGCCTAGTGTCACGATAAATTCAAATTTTGTAACGCGAGGTTCCCAAAAGGTTTCGACGCGACTCGAGAAAAAGGGGATTGAGACACAAATGTCCAGACAGGAATGTACCCCAAATTCGATTACATAACTCATGCATACATACCATTTGCGAATGTACTTGATCAGCATATGAAGTTTTTTGAAAGTGTGTAACACTTTCTAAAAATGTATATTTCGAAAGCGACGCTGCTTGTAATGCAGCAATGGCAACGGCGAAGTGCTCTACGCTCTTCGCCAACTATATAGCAGGGGGTGGAGGCCATTTGGCCTCCACCCACGTCTTCGTTTGAAATTTCAAATGTCTTATTTCATTCTCGTCCGACGACTTGGCGCTTCCCGTTTTCCTCAGTTTCTCACTTCTCTCATAAAATAGTAGGCATCAACTCAATTGACATGGCACAACGTGTTTCAGAAATAGGCACCCGTCCGCACAATAGGCGCGCTTGTTGGGGCTAATAAAGCGACAACGCCACTGGCGCACGTGGCGACGAAATCGCCACAAGCGCGCGTGGCGACGAAAACGCCACAGGCGCGCGTGGCGACGAAAACGCCACAGGCGCGCGTGGCGAAATCGCCAGTGGTGCACGTGGCGTAAAAATCGCCAGCGGCGCAAGTGGCGCCAGTGGCGCTCATGGTGCCGAAATGGTCAAAATCGCCACTGGCGCACGTGGCTACGACATCGCCAGTGGCGTGCAATAACCAGGGGCTCGTCCAGCGGCAGTCGGCACCAGCAGGTTGGCGAAATCTCCAGAGACAAACTGGCATGACATATGCTCTCCTGCTGCTGACATTGTCAGCGGATAACTTATTACCTTGCATATGTTTCCACCTTTTCTTCGTACGTATCTTCGATTTTTGTTTGTCTTCGTTTTTCTCTCGTGCTATTTATTACCTCTGATCGCAGTAAATCGGTGCGAGGCAACTACCATAGCTTTGGGTCGCCATGAGAGACCATCGGCGAAGAAAGACTGCGGCAAACAATTGGCACAACCCCATGCGCTCCCGTGCGGTGCTGGCCAGCGAGCTCCCCAGGGGGGAGGAGGACCGGTGGGTCCTGTGCGGTGCTGGCCAGCGAGCTCCCCAGGGGGGAGGAGGACCGGTGGGTCCTGTGCGGTGCTGGCCAGCGAGCTCCCCAGGGGGGAGGAGGACCGGTGGGTCCTGTGCGGTGCTGGCCAGCGAGCTCCCCAGGGGGGAGAAGGACCGGTGGGTCCTGTGCGGTGCTGGCCAGCGAGCTCCCCAGGGGGGAGGAGGACCGGTGGGTCCTGTGCGGTGCTGGCCAGCGAGCTCCCCAGGGGGGAGGAGGACCTGTGGGTCCTATGCGGTGCTGGCCAGCGAGATCCCCAGTGGGGAGGAGGACCGGTGGGTCCTGTGCGGTGCTGGCCAGCGAGCTCCCCAGGGGGGAGGAGGACCGGTGGGTCCTGTGCGGTGCTGGCCAGCGAGCTCCCCAGGGGGGAGGAGGACCCACCGGGGGAGGAGGACCGGTGGGTCCTGTGCGGTGCTGGCCAGCGAGATCCCCAGTGGGGAGGAGGACCGGTGGGTCTTGTGCGGTGCTGGCCAGCGAGCTCCCCAGGGGGGAGGAGGACCGGTGGGTCCTGTGCGGTGCTGGCCAGCGAGCTCCCCAGGGGGGAGGAGGACCGGTGGGTCCTGTGTGTTGCTGGCCAGCGAGCTCCCCAGGGGGGAGGAGGACCGGTGGGCCCTGTGCGGTGCTGGCCAGCGAGCTCCCCAGGGGGGAGGAGGACCGGTGGGTCCCTTTTTGGCTTGTGGGCCATTTGTAGGGTAGATTCATGGTTGTGCAATTTAGTTACACTTCTCACACACCTTAGGCTTTGAAAGCCTTCAATTGCACGGTCCGGATGTGGTCACACTCGAGTTGGTTGATTGAACAATGTTGTGGTGAGTTTGAAATGGTGCTCAAGTCTAGCAGATCCAAAAAAAAAAAAAAAACAAAAAAAAGCACACACATACAAAGGGCTCAAATGCCGGCAGATTTACAGTATCCGGATACAGATGCATGCACTCTTCGTAATGCGAGCACGGTTGTGACTGCTACAAGGGTTGGGCTCCTACAAGCATCACATCCATCATCACACAAAACACCAATGCCCGTTACCAGAGTCCTCCTATACTGCTTGCGAGTTTGTGTCCGAAGCTCACATGTCAGCCGACTCTCATAAATCAACATTACTGTGCTACACTCGGGGCAACACTTCATCCAAGGCAACAGCAGGGAATACAGCATCACCATCAACATCGGTGTCAGCCTCTCCTTCGTGCGTGATTGGACCTCCACCGACATGTCATCGCATAAGCCACAAACAACCTTTACCATCTCGTTATAATGACCGCGTCTCATGTCTCATAAGACCCATGAAACGAAGCTCGTTGCCATTGCAAACGCAAGAAAGCAAGCTTTCTAAATATGAAGTTTTTTGAAAGTGTGTAACACTTTCTAAAAATGTATATTTCGAAAGCGACGCTGCTTGTAATGCAGCAATGGCAACGGCGAAGTGCTCTACGCTCTTCGCCAACTATATAGCAGGGGGTGGAGGCCATTTGGCCTCCACCCACGTCTTCGTTTGAAATTTCAAATGTCTTATTTCCCACCCACCCACCCTAGCAAAAATTGCATGTTGGAACTTGTAATGTATGTACCATATCTAAATAGGACGAGAATGTTGTAATGCCCATTTGAAACGAAGCTCGTTGCCATTGCAAACGCAAGAAAGCAAGCTTTCTAAATACAAATAATTTTGAAACAATAGTGAATATACTTGATCAGCATACAAATAATTTTCCTCGATCTCACCTTGTGAACATAGACAAATACTATACCAAAATACAGTAATCCACCACCACCTACACTTTTTTCTTCCAACCTCCCACACCTCCACTCCAACTCAATTATCCTACCATCCTTGCTCCTCACAGCTGAATTTAGGCCAGCTCGCCTCTGCACTAGGCACATACCCCCCTAAACCACCCACCCCCCACCCTCCTCCCCCTGGTGTACACACCAGCAACGTATCCCCCCTCTCCACCCCCACACTCGCCTTCCCCCCCAAATTCACCACCCTCCCGTCCCGCGCGATCCGCAGCAGATTCAACCCCCGCGCACCACACCCGCCCCCCACACCCCCATTCGGCGCCAAAACCCGTCTCTCGGACAGCATACTAACAGTCGCAGGCCGCAGGAACTCCACCTCCCGTTCCACCCCATGCCCGCCTCGCCTCTCCCCACTCCCGCCACTCCCCTGCCGCAGCCGGAACCTCCTCAGAAGCACCGGGTAGCGTCTCTCTAGCACCTCAGGATCGGTGATTCTGGTGTTGGTCATGTGGCTCTGCACCCCGTCTTCTCCCTGCCATGTCGGCCCCGCCCCCACCCCGCCCGCAATCGTCTCATAATACCCAAACGTCCCGTCGCCAAACGTGAGGTTGTTCATACACCCCTGCGAGTTCGCCGCCGCAGCAAACGTGGAGAGAATAATATCCGTCACCCGCTGCGACGTCAGCACGTTGCCACCCACAACAGCAGCAGCATCGCTCGGCGAGAGCAGCGAATGCAGCGGGAGAGTGATCCTTACAGGTGCCAAGCACCCCTGGTTGAGGGGAATATCCGAGTCCACCAGGCAGCGCAGACAGTAGATGATAGCAGCGGTGGTGACGGCAGTGGGAGCGTTCCAGTTGCCGTACACCTCGGGGCTGGTGCCTGTGAAGTCGAAGTGGGCTGAGCCGGAGGCCGGGTGGATGGAGATGCGCAGGCGGATCAAGGAGCCGTCGTCCATGCGGTCCTCTCCCTGCAGCACCACTACCTGCTTCCCATCTGCATCAGCATCAGCATCACGCCCAGCATCAACCTTAGTAGGTAAGGCATTGTCAGCTGCTCCCTGCTGGTCCTGCGAAGCCTCCTGGGAAGACTGCTGCTGCTCATGAGATGCTTGCTGCTGCTCCTGAGACGCCTGGTTCTGGCTCTCCAGGTGTTTCAAGGCAGTGCGGGTGAGCATGCGTCGCACCACCTGCTCCGCATTCACCTGCACGTACCCCATATAAGCCAGCACCGTTTCCAGCCCACACTCCTCCACAAGCTCCCCTATCAGCTCGATTCCCCGCTGATTCGCCGCCACCTGTGCGCGTAGATCTGATAGGTTATCCTCGATGCGGCGTGTGCCTGGCACACGCCGCACTGTTTTCCCACCGCCCTGTCCGTCCCCACTCAAACCCGCTCCACCTGCCATCACCCCTTCCAACACCTGCCCCTCCAGCAGCACCGCTCGAATCGCCTCTTCCTGGAAAACCCCTCCCTTCACCAATTTCATCGTTCTAATTGCAGCTCCTTCCTCCCAAATACTCCGCGAAAACGGCGGCATGCTCCCAGGGGTACTTCCCCCGATCTCCGAATGATGCCCCCGGCTCGCGACAAAAAATATAATCCTACCCTCGCGAAACACCGGCGTGACTACAGTGATATCCGGCAGGTGACTCCCCCCAGCACAGGGATGATTCGTTACAAGCACATCCCCTTCCTGCAACCCGCCCTCAGCCACCCCCGCCCCTCTCCCCCAATACTCCAGCTGCCACCGCACTGTATCCGACATAGCCCCCAGATGCACAGGCACGTGGGGAGCGTTGGCCACTAGGCCCCCATCCGGGGAGAAGAGGGCGCAGGAGAAGTCGAGGCGCTCCTTGATGTTGGTGGAGATGGCGGTGCGCTGCAGCGTCCGCCCCATCTGCTCCGCGATGCCCATGAAGCGATTGCCGAATATGGACAGCCGCACCACGTCCCAGGGGACTGCGGGGGAAGGAGGGATGGCTGGTGTTGATAGGGGTGCTGCTGCTGCTCCTCCTCCTGCTGCTGCTGCTGCCGCTGCTACTGCTCCTGCTCCTGCTCCTGCTGCTGATGCGGCTGCTGCTTCTGCTGCTCCCTCCACATCACTTTGATGTGCCGTGTGGCTCACAGCAATGACGATATTGCCATACTTGGTGATCCCAGCAGTGCATCCCGGCTCAACCACCACAGTGCTCGTCTCATTCAGAATCACCGCCGGCCCCGCCACCACATGCCCCCACCGCAGCTTCTCCAGCCGGAATGCTGCCGTATCCCGCCACCCGCCTTCAAAGTACACCCGATGCTGCACTGCCTCCGCCTCTGCCGTCCCTGCTGCCACCAAACCTCCTGCCGCCTCTTCACTTGCGCCAGCCCTGGGAATGGCGGTCTGCTGCAGCACGCCTGAAGGAGCCACGCCCTTGACTCGGATGTCATCGATCAACACGCGCCGATCGCCCTGCAGGTCGAATCCGAACTCGCGCTCGAAGCGCCGCTTGAACGCCCCCAGGAAGTCAAACGACGCTGCTGGGTGGGAGGTGTGGAGGTTGGTGGATGGGGAAGAGGTGGATGAGGGAGTGGTGGCGGAGAGAGTGTGTGTGGGTGGTGCTTCGACCATGAGGGCAGTGTCGGTGCCGTCATAACGAAGGTTCAGCAGCACCTGCGTCCACACCCCTGCCTCCTCCCCACCCTCCCTTCTCCCCTCCCCTCCCTCTCCTCTCTCTCCTTTTCCTTCTCCTTTTCCTCCCCCTGCTTCTCCCCCCTTTCCTTTTTCTCCCTCTCCTTCTCCCTCACTCCCACCCCCCTCCCCACTCCCCCGGCCACACAACCCCGCCCTCACTTCCTCCTCCATCCTTGCCGCCCGCGCCAGCACACGTGGCAGGCTCTCATTGGAGCACACCTCAGCAGCAGGCTCCTGCATCTCAACCACCCGATCCGCCAACCCCATGCCGTACGCACTCAGAATCCCGCACAGCCGATGCACAAAAACCGTGGAGATCCCAAGAGAGCGGGCTATGGCGCATGCGTGTTGAGGCCCGGCGCCGCCGAAGCAAGCAAGCACGTGCGAGCTGGTCTCGTGGCCCCGAGCCTCTGTGAGCTCTCTGATTGGCCGGCACATGGCCTCGTTTGCCACGCGGATGAACCCCATCGCCACCTCTTCTACTGACATTCGGTCTTGCCCTGACTCCTCACCCCCCTCCCCCTCCTTGTCCCCCTCACCTCCCTCCCCACCCATCCCGCGGTTCACTTCTTTTGCCAGCTCAGCCATTGCCTCCCTCGCCGCCTGCTCGTCCAATGGGAGGTCCTCGTTCGGCCCGAAAATGGCGGGAAAATATTCGGGCAGCACGCGGCCCAATAGCAGGTTGGCATCTGTCACTGCTAGCTGCCCGCCTTTTCTGTAGCAGACCGGGCCGGGATGGGCCCCTACTGATGCGGGCCCCACACGTAACATGCCTGACTCGAAGAAAAGACGAGAGCCGCCGCCCGCTGCTACAGTGTTTATGTCCAGCTGGGGGGCTTGGATGGTGATTCCGGCTGTGGTGGTTTCTAAAACCTGCTCGTATGCGCCCCCTGCGTATCTTGACACGTCAGTGGATGTGCCGCCCATGTCAAAGCCAATCACGGGACGACACCTCAGCACTCCCTCTGCTGCTGTACCAGCACCAATAGAATCGTCTTTTGTCTTCTCCTTATCGTTTTGGTTGTTTTCTTTGCTGCTGCTGACGTCTGACAGAAGTCCTTCCAGACCTTCCATTTCCCGAACCTCGAACTCGAATGTGGTTCGGGCGAATCCAACCACACCTCCTGCTGGACCTGACAGGATGGCTTGGTAACCCGTGAAGGCTTGGGCCGGAGTCAACCCTCCGTCCGACCGCATAAACGACACTGCCACGTCAGCAAGACCCGAGTCAAACCCCGCTAAAAACTTCCCCACATAGGTGCGTATAGCGGGGGTCAGATAGGCGTCCACGCAGGCAGTGTGTCCACGTGGCACAATCCTGACCATTGGAACGAGATCGCTCGACGCAGAGACCTGATTAAAGCCCTTCTCCCGCGCTAAAGCCGCCACAGCGCGTTCGTGGTCCGGGAACGTGTAAGAGTGGAGGAACGCGATGGCCAATGACTTGATGCCACGTGCCAACACCTTCTCCAGCGCGGCTCGAGTCTTCTCGATGTTAAGCGGCACTAGCACGCGCACCAGCTCCCCCGAAACTCCGCGCACCGTGCGCTTCCCCGCTTCATCCCCACCATCCACCAGACCCACCTCCCCCTTGCCCCCGCCTTCCGCCTCACCATCCCCCTTCCCCCGGCCCTCCCCCTGCGCCTCTTCCCCCGGCAGCACCTGCGCGCGCTCCTCCACCTCCACCACCTCTTCGTACAGCAGTGAAGCGCGCCGAGCCGTCAGATCGAAGATGCGCGGCCGCGCCTGGTTGCCGATCCGCAGCAGATCCGGAAAGCCACGTGTCACGCAGAGAGCCGTCCGCTCGCCGGCGCGCTCCAGCAGCGCGTTCGTCGCGACGGTCGTCCCCATGCGGATCCAGTCGATTCGCTCCGTAGGAAGCGGCGCGTTTCGCGGAATCTTCTCGCCCGTTACCTCTTCGAGGATCCGGCGAATACCTTCCCGAGGCGCGTCATCGTAGTTAAGAGGGTCCTCGGAAAGAAGTTTGACTACACGGAAGGGCGGGTCGCCGGGAACCTCGGCGTAAATGTCGGTGAATGTGCCGCCGCGATCGATGCAGAAGCGGAATTCCCGGCGAGATTTAAAGGCGGACGCTGACGTGGACATTGTGAGAGATTGCAGCGAAAGGGCAAACACTGGAAGGGGAGTAAGTACTAAAGGTGTGCCTCGAGAACACCGCCAATTATATGCGTAATTACCGATGGAGAGCAGGATGAGGAATTTGATGATGGCAGCCAGAATCTGGGTGCGGAAGGGGTCTGCGTTCGTGACGTCATCAGTGTGCAATTTCTCATCGTCCTGAAGCATGCACGTAAAGAAACATATTTTAAAGAAGTGTACCCGATTCATGTTAGGAGCTGATAAATACATGCTGTTTTGCGTGCAGCATTTGGCACCTTTAGACAGAACCACACAACATTTACATCAGCAAATTTACAACCGACGATCATAGGGTATGTGGAATCCCGACATATGAATTTACGGTACACTACACATTGTGCTCCTACACTTACAACACCTACAACACCTAGAGGAACATTCCCTGGAAATACTCGTCAAACTCCTCTTCTCGACTTGGCTCCACTGCCACTGCTGGCTGCTGCCACACATCCTCATTCGCTGGCAGCGTGCCTCCTGCAGAGTGCATCCAGAATCAAAGAATTGTATATACACAATGTACACGATACAACACGTGAACAGATAATGAGTGGCTTGGTGTGAGATGCATGTGCTAGGGATGGTGGCAGGAGACAGCCAAGCTTGCATGTGGCAGCAATAGATCATGCAGCAAGCACACATCCGAAACCATGTGCCATGCAGCCCCTGCCTCTCACCTTGAACCATGACATTCCTCGCCTTGCAATCCGCCAAGCCACTTGTGTTTTTTTAGGATTCTCAAAATACAGAATTCTAGAAAAACAGATTCACCCTCTCACCTTGAACCACAACATTCTTCCCCTTGCCATCTGCCAAGCCACTTCCATTCCCCTGAATCCCCTCTCCCTGCTCTCGTCCTTGTCCCTGCCCCCCCCCTCCGCTCTCACGTCCACTTCCTGCTGATTTGCCAATACCCGCCGCTCCACGTACCCCCCCATCCATTCTTGCCTCTGTCCCTTCACATGCCCCACCTGCCCCACTCTCCCTGCTTATCCTGCCTGCCCCACCAGCCGTGCTTCCCCCTCTTTTTCCACACTCGTGCTCCTGCTTCTCCTTCCTAAGCTTAGCTTCCTCCTTCTCCCTTGCATCGTGCCTCTCCTCCCTTCCTGTGCATTCCTTCTTCCTTGCCCTCTCGCTCCTTCCCCTCTTATGCCTCTTTGCATTGTTACCTTCATCGCTATCGCTCTCTGCTGCACCCCTCTTGCTGCCGCTAGTGTCACTGAAATCACTAGAATTACTACGATCACCACTACCACTAGTATCACTCTGGCTGTGGCTGCTGCTCGAGAAACTGTTGCTGTCTCTGCATGGAAAAGAAAGGCAGGGGATGGTGACATGGCCAAAAAAATATATGGTGGCAAAAAAATTCCAGAAAGAGGGTGATGACGATTTGGCAACAAACTTGTTTCCATGAGTTGAAGAGTGAAAAAGCACGTAGAATATTTGCAACATACCCACAATACTCTTCACCCATTCATTAGATTTTCACTACTGTACGTAATCAAGAAGCAAATAGACGCACAAAGCACTCGGATTCACAAACCCAGAGAACTACCAATCCCACAGTGCTACCATTCACAATCACTCGGATTGAGTACTACCATTCACCATCCCATATTACCTTCGCTTCCTCCGTTTCTTCTTCTCCTTCTGCCTTCTCTCTCGTTCCTCCCTCTCCCTCTCCCGCTCCTCTGCTGCTCGCTGCCGCTCCAGCTCCTTCTCCTTGCGATAATTAAGCTGATACGCATGCCTGGAAAAACAAGCGGTAGTGTGAGGTGAGGAGCGATGGTAAGGTGTTACGTTGGTCTTGAGCCGCCTCAGAGAGTCATTCCTCTTGCTGCCGCTCCAGCTCCTTCTCCTTGCATTGGTTGAGTTGATACGAGTGCCTGAAACAGGCGGTGGTGTGGGATGAAGAGCGATGGTGAGGAGTTAGGTTGCTCTAGAGCCGCATCAGAGACAGACTGCTTCCTCGCCTTTGCTACCTAGCAGCTAAAGCCGAGTTAGTTTTTGTTCAGGAGGCGCTTAGAAACCGACATCTGACTTCGACAAACAAAACATTTTTCAGACGGTTCCATCAATTTCTGATTTGGAGAAGCACACTTGACTACGAGTAATTTCTTAAACGTTTGAATCAAACTCACTCACTTTGCACACACCCTCAGCTTCACCAGGGCCTGTTTCTTCTGCCCGGCTTCATGGTAGGCGAAATTGACCTGCCCTTGATAGCCATGCAGGAACACATGCATGCAAAAATACATGCCGATATACATGCAGGCATACATGCAAGCATATGCAGGTATACATGCCGACATGCCCAAGAAACATGCAGGGGTGTGGGATGAGCAGGGCTGGGCGTGCTCGAAAAGTCATGGAAACAGGGATGCAATGCGAGCTAAGTTGTATACCTGACATGACACGAAAACACGTAAGGGAAAAACCACTTGGTGCCTTTCCAACTCTAAAGAACTTTCATGCCATTTCTTAATAAACTAAAATCACTGAGCTGCGCTTATGCCATTGAATCAGAAGAAAGGTGAGCGAGCGCATCAAGGAATAGAGGAGTGCATCGAGTAGGCCAATGTAGAAGCATGTAGAGAGGGTGTTTTTGAGACGTCTCAAAGTCAGTCAACGTAGAAGCACAAAGACTCACTTGGAACACAGAGGCCGTGTATTGAGCGGGCGGATGGGGAGAGGAGGAGGAGCAAAAAAGGATTTTAAGGCTGACAATGCTTCTGTATGACTTGCCTCGTAGCTATGAAGGCCTTCTCTATTGTCACACCCTTTAGTGCCACACACAAACTGACCTGTGGGGAACACGTGAGAAAGAATGGGATGAAAAGCGGAGCAGCAGAGAAGAAAAGGGAACACACCTGGAAACAGTTTTAATCCATTGCTATTCACACGCGTTTTCACACGCCATCACACGCCATGGAATCGTTCAAGCCACCTATCATCAAACCAAAGCAGCAATTACACATGCAAGCAGGCATGCAGCGACACATGCACCACTCAGTCACATCTAATTCACCTCTTCACTTCACCCACTCACTTTCACCACATCCTTCACATGTCCACTTCAACCACCCACTTCACCTTTTCCTTGCAGGACTTCAGCGTGTGTGCGCCATCGCAAGCCAATCTGAACGTGCGGCATTAAGCAAAAAATGACAGACAGAAACAAGTACTAGTAGAAAAAACAATCAAATTTAGGAAAGCAACAAAGTAGCGAATAGTGCGCAAGCGATGTGCGTTTCAACTTATTCATGTGCGAAATGACAGCTGTTAGTGTCCGAAACAACTCGTGCAGAATAGCATAGATTCGAGAGGCACAATGACAGCATGATGTGAATACAATGAACTCAGCCATAACACACATGTGATGTGATGTTCCATGCTCGTTTCATACACATGCAAGCATGATCGATGTACAGACTACCTTGTTCTCCTTGTAACGGCTCATGTCCGCAACACAATACCTGCACCCAGGACAGGCACACACATGATTATGGATATGCTTAGGAGACTCTTGAGTGCTCCTTATGTGATCCCCATCATACATACTGTTGTGTGTCGCAATAATTGGTCCTTCAATCCTCAGAATTCTCAGTAAGCACTTGGTCCAAGTGACCAAGTGTCACAACCTTGAAGATATAAGACCACAACCCTCATAGTGTTACATCAATTGGACCTTCTCATAAAAAACCATCACAGACTTCGTCCTTCGTTGTGTGTCACACAGTCACCTGCTGGTCAGGTGTGTTTACTCCTTAAACAGCTGGTCAGTATGACTGATTACGTGCTCAAACATTGTGGTTCAAGTTCAAGTGCTTACTCCTTGAAGAGCTTGTCAGTATGACGACTACTACTCACTCAACTCAAACATTGTGGATCAATTCAGGTTCAAGTGCTTACTCCTTGAACAGCTTATCATAGTATCGCTTGGCGAGCCTCTGCTCCCACGTGCCCTCTGCATCATCCGCCTCTGACCGAATGAACCTGCACCTCGCATTCAGACATGCATTGGTTGGGTTAAGCATGAGCTACGCATGGGTGAAGCATGGGTGGATGGAGTGTGGTCAACGAACGTTAGTGGTGTAGTGTGGTGCTGTGTGTTGAGTGGGATGGGTGGTGTGGTGAGAACCCATATGTTTGTTAGATTTGCATGTTGAACAGAGGATTGCACAAGAGGAAGAGGGGAAGAAACCGGGGGAGAGGATGAATGAGCAAGAAGAGGCGAGTGCAGGTGTGTAAGTGACATTGGAATGGGTGAATGAACCAGGACAATGGAGAGAGATTGGAGAGGCTGGGACAAGAATGTGGTGAAGAGTCGGGAGAGAAGTCTAGTTTTGAGGCGCCTCAAAACATTAGACAGCTGGGACAAGAGTGTGGTGAAGGGTGGGGAGAGGAATGGGGATAAGGCCAGGAGAAAAGCAGATGGGTGAGGGTTGAGGAGGTGAAGGGTGTAAAGAACAATGGGGAGAAGAATAATGGGAGACAAGAGCAAAGACGGATGAGGGTACAAAGAAGCGAGTGCTGAGACTTTCAGGACATGAATGTGTGAGTTGAGAACGTACCTGTACCTCTCTCTGAGAACGTCCAGGTCCGTCTTGAATAAAGGTGCAGCATTGGGGGGTGGCAGGTGGGACGGAGAGACATGTCACACGGGTGTGGGAGTAGGTGAGGTTTTGAGAACACGTCCCATACCTGTAGCTCTCCCTGAGAACGTCCAGGTCCGTCTTGAATGTGGGTGCAGCGCTGGAGGATGCCGAGCGGCTGTAGAAATGCACTGCGATGGCGACGGCGTGCAGTGGGGGTGGGTGGGAAGGATGCAGTGGAGTTGCATAGGATGGAGTGGGGTGGAATGGAATCGGGAGAGTGAGGTGGGGTGGCAAAAGATTCAACTTGTGGCATCCATGTGTAGTGAAGGCGTTTTTTGAGACTTCACAAGGTAAAGGTGGGAATAGAGGGTAATAGGTATACAGTATACTCGACAACGGAAAATGCATCGAGAGACATGGAGCACGTAAGCATGGATGTGGAGGCATGCACATGTCTATGGGCGGGCGGTACAAGTGCATCATGCACATGGGCATGTGGACATGCACGAATGTCCAGGCCTGTGTAACCCTGTGAGCAACCCTTCCGTCCATTTCTTAGGCACATTAAAGTGCATGTGCACAAGTGAAAGTGCATGTGGGCATGTGAAAGTGCATGTGGGCATGTGAAAGTGCGTGTGGACATGTGAAAGTGCATGTACGCATGCATGTATGTGCAGGCCTGTGTAGCCCTGTGAGCAATCCTTCCGACCACAGAACTGTTCCAGAGCCTGCTGCCGCTCTGCCACCCACCCTAGCCACCCGTCTTCCAGAACAGGAAAGCAGGAGCAAAGCCGGGCGGCAGACTGCGCAGTGCTGTTGGGGGGCTGCGAGAGGGGCGCTGCAGAGCAGGCAGGGCCTCTGGTTAGGCCTGACATCAGGCACCACCAACCCCCCGTATCGTATGCTCTTGATGATAGACAGTGCGAGCGTGTACTGAATCACCTTGTGCTGGAAGCTGACAACAGCCATTGAGTTTTGAGACGTCTCAAGAAAGAACATGCTTTATGAGAGGCTTCCAGGTCAGTGACCATAATCACGCACAAAACTTCTGTTGGCCATAGAGTGACGCATAATCCAGATTCCAGAGTTGTCGACAATGGATGTGACGCATAGAGCGTTGGTCAAACCTGATTCCAGGCTGACCATATCATACTCGGAAATTTGTGGCATGTTTCGAGACTGACCGTAGTCGATGTTTTGTAAGAAGCCTCAAAGGGACTGAGTGGTGTCAGGTTCGACCAACACTTTACCAAGTCGTTGCGTTTGGAGATGCCTCAAGGCTACTTACAGACCGTAGTCGTTGCAATTCGGGATGTATCAAGGGGACTGACTGACCATAGGGATCGTCAAGGGGACTGACTGACCATAGTCATGGACGAACTTCTGGTGTCGCTGAAAGGCGTTCATTGAGGAGCCTCAGAAACAGGCTGCTGAAGAGATGTGTCAAGGGGACTGACCATAGGGATCGTCAAGGGGGCTGACTGACCATAGTCATGGACGAACTTTTGGTGTCGCTGAAAGGCGTTCAGCCCGAGCAGATGGTCGCGGTAGTGCCTGGGAAAGGCGAAGAGAAGCGAAAGTGACAACAACGAGGGTGAATAAGGAATCCCGCATTCAATCCCCGCAAGGGGTAGTGTCTGAGAAGAGGACGAGAAGCGAAACTTACTATAGCAAGAGGTGAAGGTTTATTTCAGGTGACTCGAAATGCACATTTGGCTTCGGCAAAGAAACCAGCAACGCAAGGCGAGCATGTAGTTTAGTTAATTCACGAAATTGGAATAACAATGAAAATCATTATGCTAACAGCTATAATCGGCAAAACAACAGCCACGAGAGACGAGAACGCACTGCTGGCTTTGCTGCTGCGAGAACACTTTGTCCTGCAGCCTCGAGAATGACGACATACTGCGACACGCCTTGAAAGAAGATCGAACTGCTAATGACGAACTGCTGCGACGCGCCTCAAAAGTAATTATCGACCGTTTACCCTTGCGAATGCCTGACAATGGGGTCGCGGCTAGCGTTGACTTGAGGAGCAACAGCAAGAGGCTTGGATGGGATGATCATCAATCGCTTCAAGGATTTAGTACGCATAGAGGCAACGGTGGAAGAACGATGGGAAGGAGGAGCAGAGCGAAGGGATTGCCCGTCATGATGACTGATGAAGGGCTAGGAAAAGAAGCGAGTGGAGGATTCAATAAGCAAACTTTGTCAAACATACAGTTTGCACAATCTTTAGTGTACAAAGAATTATAACCGAGAAAAAGAATGCAATCTTAGCACTAAAGAAACAAAATATATGTTAAAAAACAACACACCACCTTATGTACACAGGCCTGTCAAATTAGCACCTTCCCTCCCCACTACCTTCCCCAACTCCACCTAACCTCTCTTCCCGAGCCTCAGCCGCAGCTTCGGCCCGAACGCGGTCCCGGTCCTTGGGATATGTCCAATATAACCACCCATAGCACGCACAGCAAATTGCAAACGGCACCGCCATAGTCCAAAACAAACCCAGGGACAATGCCTCAGCATTTTTCGCATCTGCTGCCATTTCTGCGTGGCTCCTGCTGCCGCGGCTGCACGAGCTACTGCTGCTAACACCATTCCCACTATCACCGCCCAAAGCAGTGGCATCGGCAGGTTTGGGCGAGGGTGGAATGTACCCGAACCAAGCCTGGGCGAGGTAGCCCACAGTGGGGGGGGCAAAGGCTGCTATGGACATTTCAAAGGTTCGGTCGAGAGCGTATATGTCCGTGCGGAGTCTCTCGGGGACAATCTCTGCGAATATGGGGCTGGGGGGTCGTGGGGAGATGGGGAGGGGATAGAGGGATAGGGAAAGAGCAAGGAAAGAAGGAAAGGCGAAGGAGGGAAAGAGTGAACGAGGGAAAGAGGGAACGCAGGAGAGAGAAAGATGGAAAGATACAAAGGTGGACAGCGTGAAAGACGTATAGAGAGAAAGAGGGTATGGGAGAGAATGACTGAGCCTGAGAAACGAAGGATGGGATGGCATGTTTTAATCATGCGCGCAAGGCATCATGCACACAAGCCATCATGCACACAAGGCATCATGCGCGCAAGGCATCATGCGCGCAAGGCATCATGCGCGCACACACAAGGCATCATGCACACAAGGCATCATGCACACAAGGCATCATGCGCGCACACACAAGGCATCATGCACACAAGGAATCAGGCACACAAGGCATCATGCGCGCAAGGCATCATGCGCGCAAGGCATCATGAGCGCAAGGCATCATGCACACAACGCATCATGCACATAAGGCATCATGCACACAAGGCATCATGCACACAAGGCATCATGCACACAAGGCATCATGCACACAAGGCATCATGCGCGCAAGGCATCATGCACACAAGGCATCATGCGCGCAAGGCATCATGCGCACAAGGCATCATGAGCGCAAAGCATCATGCGCGCAAGGCATCATGTGCGCACACACAAGGCATCATGCACACAAGGCATCATGCACACAAGGCATCATGCGCGCGAGGCATCATGCGCGCAAGGCATCATGCGCGCAAGGCATCATGCACACAAGGCATCATGCGCGCACACACAAGGCATCATGCACACAAGGCATCATGCGCGCAAGGCATCATGCGCGCAAGGCATCATGCGCGCACACACAAGGCATCATGCACACAAGGCATCATGCACACAAGGCATCATGCGCACAAGGCATCATGCGCGCACACACAAGGCATCATGCGCGCACACACAAGGCATCATGCACACAAGGCATCATGCACACAAGGCATCATGCGCGCAAGGCATCATGCGCGCACACACAAGGCATCATGCACACAAGGCATCATGCACACAAGGCATCATGCGCGCAAGGCATCATGCGCGCAAGGCATCATGCGCGCAAGGCATCATGCACACAAGGCATCATGCACACAAGGCATCATGCGCGCACACACAAGGCATCATGCACACAAGGCATCATGCGCGCACACACAAGGCATCACGCACACAAGGCATCATGCATACAAGGCATCATGCGCGCAAGGCATCATGCGCGCAAGGCATCATGCGCGCACACACAAGGCATCATGCACACAAGGCATCATGCACACAAGGCATCATGCACACAAGGCATCATGCGCGCAAGGCATCATGCGCGCAAGGCATCATGCGCGCAAGGCATCATGCACACAAGGCATCATGAGCGCAGGCATCATGCGCGCACACACAAGGCATCATGCACACAAGTCATCATGCACACAAGGCATCATGCATGCGAGGCATCATGCGCGCAAGGCATCATGCGCGCAAGGCATCATGTGCGCACACACAAGGCATCATGCACACAAGGCATCATGCACACAAGGCATCATGCACACAAGGCATCATGCACACAAGGCATCATGCGCGCAAGGCATCATGCGCGCACACACAAGGCATCATGCACACAAGGCATCATGCACACAAGGCATCATGCGCGCAAGGCATCATGTGCGCAAGGCATCATGCACACAAGGCATCATGCACACAAGGCATCATGCGCGCACACACAAGGCATCATGCACACAAGGCATCATGCACACAAGGCATCATGCGCGCAAGGCATCATGTGCGCAAGGCATCATGCACACAAGGCATCATGCACACAAGGCATCATGCACACAAGGCATCATGCACACAAGGCATCATGCGCACAAGGCATCATGCACACAAGGCATCATGCGCCTCCTGCAACGTTCCTAGAGCACAATCAGTCATTCCTGGTTGATTGAGCTAACCAATCTTCTAATGACCCAGTGAAGTGAACTAACTGTAGTGGCTCACTAGCATTGCAGTGAAGCAACTATAGTGGCTCACTAGCAGCTGCCCTGTTTGTTTCTCGCATTGCTGACCTGCTTCCAAATACACTCACTTGTTGGTGCCCGCAGCATTCCATGAGATAAGAAACCCCATGAGGGTTAACACCATAATGTACACCCCAAAATAATCAGGCGAATGCGGCACTACTCTCAGCAGCACCGTCGACAGCACCACCGCCGAACCAGCACTGATCTGCGCACACACCAGCCTCCCTCCATCCGGCCACCTTCTAGCCATCACATCCCCAAACCACCCGCCGAACAGGCCCCCCAGGCTGCACGCGACAGTGAACACAGAGAGGAGAACTGCAGTGGAGGCGTGGGAGAAGCCGAGGAGCTCGAACCACATGGGGAAGAATGCGCCTGCTGCCCAGGGAAATGAGCCCACGACCCCCTGGGCTATGATCAGCTGGAAGGTTCGAATTCGGAGGACTTTGAGCACGTCTGAGAGGAATGTGGAGGAGGGAGGGGAGGAGAGGGGGGTGGGAGGGAGTGGGGAGGGGTGGGGATGGGAGTGGGGAGAGTGGGATGGGGAGGAGGCGGAGATGCGGTGGTGGGAGGTGGAGTGGAGTGGGGTTGATTCGTTGACTTGAGACTGTTGCTGCTGCTGCACCTGCTCCTGCTGGTGCTGGTGATGCTGCTGCTGTTGCTTCAAGTGTAGGCTGTGGTCTTCAGACAGCAACGGTTCTACAGTGCGCTCCTCTTGTGCGCCGGGCTCATCGGCAAGAGCAGCCAACGCGTCGACTGACCTGATGGAGAGAGCGGGGAAAGACAGCGAGAGTGGGAGAGAGGGAGCCGGGAGAGAAGGGGGGGTTGGGCGAAGGAGAGCTGAGTTAAGGGTGCTGGTTGCAATGGCTCTGCAGTGCGCTTCTCTTGTGAGCCCAAAGGAGGCATAGCAGGCGAGGCAGATGCCGAGGGTGAATCCGAGTATTTTACTGATAGAGTCAACTCGAGGCTCACTTGACTATGGTTGGCGTGGGGTCGTGCGCAAATAGCCAGAGCACAGCCGTCAGCCCCAGGCTGACGAGTCATGATAATAAACGCCATGCACCACCAGCCAGCGAGACCATAGAAGGCGTAGCAGGCGAGGGAGACGCCGAGGGTGAGGGGTTGAATGCACTCGATAGTCGACTCAAAACTCACTTGACCGTGGTGGGTGGGGGGTCGTGTGCGGAGAGCCGGAGCACAGCCGCGAGACCCAGGCAGACTATAATGAATGCCATGCACCAGCCGGCGAGGCGAAGAAGGCACAGCAGGTGAGGGAGATGCCGAGGGTGAAGCTGAGGATGTATTGTGTTACAATGAAATGTGTTCGACTCAAAACTCACTTGACCGTGGTGGGAGCCGAGTCGTGCACGAAGAGCCAGAGCACAGCCGCCAGTCCCAAGCTGACGACCGTGACTATAATGAAGGCCATGAACCAGCCAGCAAGGCAGAAGAATGCATAGCAGGCGAGGGAGATGCCAAGGGTCAAGTGGTGAACATTACTTCTAAGTCAACTCAACACTCACTTGACTGTGGTGGGAGGGGGGTCGTGTGCGAAGAGCCACAGCACGGCCGCCAAACCCAGGCTGACAACCGTCACGATAATGAAAGCCATGCGCCAGCCGGCTAGCCCAAAGAAGGTGTAGCAGGCGAGGGAGATGCCGAGGGTGAAGCCGAGGATGTTGCCAAAGTTGGTCACGAACTGCAGCCAGCCGAACGCCATGCCCCTCGTGCTGTTGCTGGCTGAATCGGCGACGAGCGACTGGATGGCTGGGATGACTAGGGCTAGCCCGACTCCATTCAAACCCCTCCATGCCGCCACCTGGGTGGAGGAGAAAGGGCGGGGTTGGTGGATGGGTGGGGAAGAGGGAGGAAGGAGGGAGAGAGGTGGTGAGAGAAGCGGGGGGGGCGTCCTAAGTGTGAAGCCATGAGGATAGTGTAGCAACAGCTGCTGGCGAACTGTAGCCAGCCAAGGCCAAGGCCATGCCAGTAACTAATTCCGCCACAAGGAATGTTGCTGGCGGAGTTAGTGACGTGATGAGTGACAGGCTGGCTGGGATGACCAGCGCTGGGCCGGCTCTGTTCAGGCCCCTCCGTACGAGGTGACTTTTGAGTCGACTCAAAAGTCACCTCGTTACAATGACCTGCGCTAGGCTGGCTCCGTTCAGGCCCCTCCATACCGCCATCTGCGGGTACAGCACGCCGGGACGGAGCGGAGGAAGAAAGAGAGGGTGGGCGGGCAGGGAAGTGGGTGGTGGGAGCGGGAGAGGGAGTGCAATCGCTAACGAAGAGCAAACCTAGAGTTGGTGAGAAACTGCAACCAGCCGAACGCTAGGGCCACATGTGGTAGCTGGTGTCCCTTTGGAGAATAATCCAGAGTGATTCCATAAGGTAGTAAGGAGTAACCTCATAGAAGGTAGCCTCATAGAAGTTGGTGGTGATACTACCAACGCCCAGAGTGGTGATGGCCCACGTGAACGCACCTGCTGCAATTACTCGCACTCACATGCAGGCGGTGGGCAGTTGCAAGTGGCAGGCGCAAGTCACCCCACCCATTAAACTCGAACCAAGCTTTTCAGTCCTCCCCTCACTGCTCCTTACCTCGTACTAGTTGGTGGCAATGCCAACCCCCAGAGTGGCGATGGCCCATGTGAACGCATTCACTGCAATCACTTTCACACACGAGCACTTGCATGCAAGAAGGCGCAAGTCACCCCAACCATTCACCTCGAAACAGCTTCAATGTACTCCCCCACTCCACCTCACCTCATAATAGTTTGTGGCGACCCCAACGCCCAGAGTGGCGATGGCCCATGTGAACGCACCCACTGAGATCACTTTCACTCGAGCCATCCAGTGCGCCAGCCATGGGGCGAGCGGGCAGGTTAAGGCCTGGCAGGGGTCACAGAATGGAGGGCAAGACACGGAGGGCAAGACACGGAGGGCAAGACACGGAGGGCAAGACACGGAGGGCAAGACAAGGAGGGCAAGACACGGAGGGCAAGACACGGAGGGCAAGACACGGAGGGCAAGACACGGAGGGCAAGACACGGAGGGCAAGACACGGAGGGCAAGACACGGAGGGCAAGACACAGAGGGCAAGACATGGAGGGCAAGACACGGAGGGCACAGAAAGTTCGGAAGGAGGATAGCGACTGTGGGAACGGGGAGCATGTGAGTGTGAATGCCGTTCGAATCACACAAGGCAGTCAGTACACCAACCATGAAGCGAGGAGGACACGTGAAGGCGTGGCGGTGGTGGGCATGGGAGAGGTTGGAAGGAGCTGAGTGAGGGTGGGCTTCGAGTCGGTTCACAGCAAATGAAGCCAGGCCGTCACAGCAAATGAAGCCATCACAGCAAATGAGGCCGGGCCGGCCAGGGGGCTAGAAAGGATGCCTGTAATCTCTCCCTCCCCACGAACCCAATTTCCCCCCATTCCCCACGTGCAAGCAACCAATCCCTCTTTCCCACCCCCCTCCCCGCCCCCAGGCCTGCACCTGCACGAGAGTGAGAGAGCAAGTTTTAGACGCCTGTAACAGCACTCCCCCTCTTCCCCACTCCCCCTCCCCCCCCCTTACCCCCACGAACCCAATTCCCCCCATTCCACGTGCAACCAATCCCTCTTCCCCCCCCCCATCCCCGCCCCCAGGCCTGCACCTGCACGAGAGTGAGAGAACAAGTTTTAGACGCCTGTAACAGCACTCCCCCTCTTCCCCACTCCCCCTCCCACCCCGCCTCCCGCACGCCCCCAGCTCCCCACCTGCACGAGCGCGCGCACGAGCGTGAGAGTGCCCAGGGCCTGCGGGGACGCGTGAAAGGCCTGCCCCACCTGACCAGGGGAGTGGGGGAGTGAGATGGGGGGAAAAGGCGGAGGGACCGGAAAAGGGGGGGGTGTGGGGGGGAAAGTAATGGGAGGAGTAAGGGGGAAGAAGGGGGGTTGGAAGTTTGCAGGGTAAAAATGAGGACTGGAGAAATGAAAATAACAGAGGAGCGCAGAATGTCTGACACACGTGAAGCGGGAGGCGGCGAGTGGAAGGGAATGTGTGTTCGCGGATTTTTTTGTCTGACGGTCGACTTTTCTAGTCAAATCTCGAGTCGAGTTTGGAGTCAATTTCTCGAGAAATGCTTTGCTATCCGTGTATGAGATTTCGCATTACGCACACCTCGTTATAAACAGCAGGAAGAAGCGCCTCGTCTGCCCTCTCTACAATCGCGGCGATGTTGACTAGAACGAGGGTGCGAAGCCGAACGTCCTTCCACCATGACCACATGACGCCAGCCCTGAGATTATAGCGAGAGGATGACGCGACGTGAGTAGCGACGTCTTTAATCGTCGACGCGGATCTAGGCGAGAGCGAGGAGGTGGAAGGAGGGCTACGCGAGCCTACGCGCGGCGACGATCGAGCTTTAAAGCTCATGGCAGGACGCGCTACACTAAATATTCAGTCGACTCGAACGCCGCTACGCGAAGGCGCTGCAACGCGGGAATCGACGGCCGCCGTTGAATGGCCAAGCCCGGGCTGCATCACTGCATCGGAACCTATACCTGTGTGTCAAACAGCATGCCATCCAGTGGCTTGATGTTTGATAGGCATCGCTGGGAGTTTTTTTGCAATGCCTGGGATTGGCGTGTTGCAATACACACTTACAGCGTGTCACCTGCAGGTTGATTTCGACATTCCACGCGGCATCATTCCCAACCCCAGGTTTCACTCCACAATCGAACTCGGCATTTCCCAAAGCGCGCAACTACTGTACATAGCCGATTGCGTGATAAGAGTTCGGTACGTTTTTTTTTCCAGATCGAGATTTTCGGGTTGTTCTCAAACAATTGTGAATGATTCGAGGTGTGACTATTCTTCATAGAGGGACTCGACATTGTAGCATAGCACCCCACTTCACAGATTTTGAATTAACATCGCTAAAACATTGTGCTGTTACGCAAACCGAAGTTTGTTCACAACGGATCACTTCGCGACCGAAGTGGCGATACTGTAGCTCAAGCGCCAAGCCCGGGCTGCATCACTGTGGCTGTCAGGATTTAGGATTGAGTTGCTGTGAGGTGGGAGTGACAGACTGATGAAATCCGGCTTGTTTGTGCGAATCTGCATGCACATGCATTCACACACACACAACCTCGAGATTGCCGCCTGATGTTTGGCGTAGTAATGCTTCGATTGTAGCAAGGAGAGAGAGTTCGCTGTAGTGAATCTCTACACCGCGCAACCAACAAAATGCATCACTGACTAGTCTCCCCCCATTCTAACTCCATTCTATATTTGCAAGCAGTGTAATAGAGCAGCGAATGGTACTTTCAACACATGACAACCTCAAGGCCGCCATCGCCAGGTCCAGGTTCGGAGTACCCAATGTCCATCAATTTCTTGTCGGGTGGCAATCTAAAGCCTACAACTGTAATCGCACTGACAATAGGAATCCAGCAATACTATTATTGTGTTCATACAGCGAACATTTCTATCAATGGTTTATTGTCAGGCAGTATCAAGGCTCAAGCTAACTCAGAAAGCTCAAGGACAAGGGAAACTACAGTGGCCTCTGATCCTATCAAAATATCAGCCTGGCGCAATGGCATTATCAAAGCGCTGCGACGAATGATTAAGAACTATATCTACCCCAACAAAATGAAGCATTGTCATCAGTCATCAAGGGAGCGTCCCGTGCTCAGTTTCTGTACCTTATCAGCCATCGAGAGGCTGCTTCAAGCTCTTCATCATCGCACGATGGCTCCTCCTGAGGTGAACGGGTCTGCTGAGGCTGCTGCTGCTGCTGGTGGCCTGAGCAAGAAGGGTTCGGAGCCTGTTACGCCAAGGACGCTATTCAATGAGGTTCAGGGCCCTTTCGGCGTGGAGGACATCGTCGCGCTGTCGGCAAAGACATCTGCGCTCCGAATTGATGATCTGCAGAAGGACGGGAAGGACAAGCATAAGACATAAGCGGTGGCTTCAGTGAAGCACCGGCCCTCGACATCGGGGGTTCAGCAAAACGGGAAGGAAGCGTCTAAAGATGCGGAGGAAGATGACGGTTACCTCAGCGACGACCCAAATGAGTGTCAGGATCCGGAGGTGATCAACGACATTGCGGCGCAGGCGGGTTTCGCTATCACACTGCTTATCCCGTTCAAGTGGGTGGAGGAGGTCCCGCGTACGATCGATACGGTCCAAGAGCTGCTCAGGCTGTGGGAGGATCATATTACGGCGAATGCCAAGACGTCGACTAAGTTCCACAAGCTGTCGCCGACATGGCTTTCTAAGATGCACTTTGGCCGACTCCAAGTCGTCTTGCACACGCTGCGGATGCGAATTTCATATGGAGCAGGAAAGTGGAACACGAGACATTGACCAAGATCCGGTTGACGCTGGGCTGGCAACATCCTGAGAATCAGTAGTACCTGAGGGAGCGATTGGTGAGGCAGGAGGCGATCGAGGTGCTGTTGAAGGGTGTCCCGGCGGTCATCTCGCTGGAAGTGGTCGGAAGAGTCTGGTGTCAGCGACTCTGTTGAAACGCAAGCGCACGACGTTATTGGAGGGAGTGGCTTTTCACAGGGTGGTGGATCCGGTGAGAGGGTCAGACACGGACAAGATCAAGGGGCTGGTGTTCCGTCACCCCGGGGATAAGTATAAATGGTGGCACAAGGTGTCGGACAAGATCTACGGCACGGATCTGCTCATCTCCTTCCCTGCTCTCACCTGCTCGTTTTGCAACGGCATGTACATGTCCTGTTTTCACGATGACTATGTGACGCAGAGGCAGGACAATTTCACCAAGTGGAACTTACCGCTGGAGCGGGTGCATGAGATCAACGGTAATAACATCTCCTTGAGCTGTGCTTTTTAGGTTGCTGTAGCAGTCGTCGTCTCTGGTGCAGTGGCTCACCTCTGTGCCGTCTCCCCTTCCGAGGAGCAGCCTCACTGAAGCTGACCTCAACTACAAAGGCCATCATGGAAGACTCGGCGGTGGTTTTTACCTCCACCAGCGGGGTTCGAGAGGAGTGGCTGTGCGTCCAGGAGGGTTGCGAGAAGGCACACGGAGTCAGTTTCGTGCATGCTGCAGATCATGCGACATCCATCCGCCACTGCACCGAGCGCCTCAAGGCGGGATCAGCAACTCGTCAGAGCAAGGGGAAGCTGAATTTGCTGGCGGTCAGGAAAGACTTCGGGATATAATCTTCCAGACGCGAGGTCGAGGTTCCGAAACGGTTCCTGCGCGTGTCAACAGCAAGGCGGCAGTAGACATGGAGGAGGGAGGAAGGAAGAGTTTTGAGCCGAAAGTTTTGTCTCATGTGCAGTTGCAGCTCAATAAAGCTCGTGGATGCGAGGGGCTCATGTCAAGGTCGATTAATGGATAAATAATCTCAACTCACCATATGCGGAGTCAATGTTAAGGGCCTCGGTGGCAACGGCAAAAGAACCGCTCACAAGACCTGGTTGAAGAGAGCTGCAGATGTGGTAGTCCTCTCGGATACGAGAATTAAGGAAGACCACAATTTCTGGAATGAGCTCAAACCAACGGCTAGGGCTGTAGATGGCACAGAGAAAGGAGCAGGAGGGGTAGCGATAGTGGCTTTCAAGAAGCACTTACCCTTCACAGAGGTTATGTCTCACCACACCGGCAGGTTGTTAGGAGTGACTGTGGAGGGGGGTGAGAAACTGAACGAGAATGAGAATGACTAAGGGAAAGTTGGGTACCAAGTAAAAACCCTAGAAAGCTGTACCCCATATGTGCTACCCCACTATAGCCTACAGTAGCTATGTCATATAAATCTGACACACCCCCATAGGCAAAGTGGGGGAGAACAAGGGGTCACAAGACCACTCAAGCAAAGCAAAGCAAGCTCAGGGTGGATCACAAAGTCACCACACATTCCGAGCACAAGTTCAAGGCCACAAGGCCAGTTCACATGCAGGATTACATACATATATAAGGCTAGATAAGAAAGAGCAGGTGTGTATATATATATATGCAACAGTACAAACAAGGTCAAGGGGTGAGCAAGTGAGGCAAGGTAGGCACAAGACCCAGCTGAGTACAGAAGCGCTGATGATCACAAGGCGCAAGTGCCTTGGTGAAGATATCAGCAGTGTTGGCCTCAGAGGCCACGTAGGTGAGGCGGAGCTGACCATGCTGCTGCAGCTCACGAGACAGGAAGTAGCAGAGAGCAATGTGCTTTGTTCTGTGCTCCAGTCTGTGCTCCCGACACAAGGCCAGCATGGCCTTGTTGTCTACGTACAGAACTGGAGGAGAACGAGGCGGCTCTCCTAGGTCAGTCAGCAGGTAGGTGAGCCAGCATAGCTCCTGTGCAGCCATGGCCCCTGCGTAGATCTCAGCCTCACAACTGGAGCCGAGAACCGAAGACGAGCGAGTAGACCGCCACGAAACAGAGCCGGAGCCAAGGCTGGAGGTGTAATCCTGTGACGACCGCTGCGTAGCCTGGTCGTCAGCCCAAGAAGCGTCAGCGTGACCTGTGAGGACTACTCGACGTCGCCCTCCAAGCACTAGCCCCATGCCCGACGTACTGCACACGTAGCGCAACACCCTCTTCGCTGCAGCCATGTGCTCTGGTCGGTGTCTCCCAGGAGCAACATAGCGTGCCAAGATGCTAAGAGGGTATGCAAGGTCAGGTCGTGTGCAGGTCATCAGGTACATGAGGCAGCCAACAAGCTCTGGGTACGGGCCACTCGACTCTACGGACTCATCCGAAGGCAGAGCTGAGAGCGAGTGGCGAGTAGACAGAGGAGTGGCCTGAGGCGAGGAGTACGTGAAGCCGAAGCGCTGAAGGACCTGCTGCACCATGTGTGACTGAGTCAGGGTAATGGTGCGCTGTGCTCTGTCCCGGGTGATCTGCAAGCCAAGGTAGCTGCGCAGTTCACCCAGGTCTGTGCACGTGTGTCACTTCTGCAGCTCGGAATTCACGTGGGCGAGTCCAGCAGTGTTAGCTGTGGCAAAGACCAAGTCGTCGACATACACTAGGATGTAGAACGGCGGCAAAGAAGTGTTAGTGTGCAGAAACAGCGACAGGTTGGCAGTAGAGGGAGCAAACCCAAAAGCCGCAAGTGTAGTCCTCAGTGTGTCGTGCCACTCACGCGGTGCCTGGCGGAGACCGTAGACTGGCCGCCGGAGGCTCCACTGGGTGCCAGGAGGAAAAGACCTAGTGAAGCCTGGTGGGCGACGCAGCCAGATCTCCTCGTGCAGGCTGCCCTGCAAGAAATCTGTGCTGAAGTCAAGAGAGTGCAGCTCGTAGTCGCGGTGAGCA